AAATATAATTAGTAACTGTGAAGTCATACTGGAGTAGAAAGGGCCCCTAATCCAATATAACTGGTATCATGAGAGGGCCACGAGGAGACACAGCAATACTGGGAGAACACTGTCTGAAGATGGAGGCAAGATTGGAATGATGCATCCACAGTCAAGGAATGTTAAGGACTGCTTCTGCCAGTCGTTACCAGAAGCTACGAGAGAGCATGGAACAGCTTCTCCTTCAGAGTCATCAGAAGGAATCTACCCTGTCAGCACCTTACTTTGGGACTTTTAGCCTCCGCAGCCATGAGAGAATAAATATCTGTAGTTTTAAGCCATCCAGTTAGTGGTACTTTGCTATAGCAGCCCTACAAAACTAATACAGGTGGGCTTTATAGACAGACAGTAGTCCTGCTTGTTATTAAAGGTGATACAGGGCTGGGCACGGTGGCTCACACCTATAATCCTAGCCCTCTGGGAGGCCCATGTGGGTGGATTGCCTGAGCTCAGGACTTTAAGACCAGCCTAAGCAAGAACAAGGACCCATCTCTACTAAAAATAGAAAATCTAGCCCAGCATGGTGGTGGCCGCCTGTAGTCTCAGCTACTCAAGAGGCTGAGGCAAGAGGATCACTTGAGCCCAAGAGTTTGAGGTTGCTGTGAGCAGTGATACCACAGTACTCTACCCACGGTGACAGAGTGAGACGCTGTTTAAAACAAACAAACAAAAAGAATCCCTACAAACCAATAAGAAAAAATAACCAAATAAAAAACAGAAAAATCAGGAAATATTCAAAGGGAAAAATACAAAATCATCAATAACATAAAAAGATATTTATCCTCACTAGTAATGAAAATGGTAGTTTGCCTTTCAGTTTGGCAGAGACTTAAAAAAATAATACCCAGTGCTGGCAATAGTGTGGAGATACTGTCACTTTTATTCACTGCTGATGAGAGTGTTAATTGATAAAAAGAGCTTTTAGATGGAGAGTTTGGCATTAACTATCAAAATTCCTAAAAATTTTCTTATTACTGATTTGACAATTTACTTCTGTTAGAAATCTCAGGAAAATTATAGTCAAAAAAGCACACAGGTATGTTCATCATAATATCATTTATAATAATAAATGTAGTTATGTATAGCACATATTATAAATAAGATGCCTTTATTTCTCATAATATATTTTCTCTGTTTTAATAATGGGGCTACTGCAGCAGAAAGAGAAAACAGTGTGGTCTCAGTTACAGAGTTCAGACTCAGGCAGTCAGCCTCCCTAGGGCCCATGTTCTTGATCATGCCACTATATTGCCTTCCTAAAGTGACCTAAATGTTCAGCTTGAATGTTTGCCAGTATAGGATGCATTTACTAAATTATAGCACTTTCATAAAACAGTAGTATATAATCATAATCAATTGATTTTATAAACAGTACTTATCTCTTTTTAATTTTGGATTCTAGGGTACACATGTTTTGTTTACATACTTTGTTTTTGTACAGACTGAGTCACAAAGTTACACACTAAAAGGAAGTGCTCATCTTACATACAATCTGATCCTGCTTTTCTTCAAAGGGTCTTCGTAAAAATTCAAACAGCAAAACTAATGTAACTTACCTGTGGGTATTGGTGTCATAGGTGATTTTAGTTGTAGCTAAAAACACAGTCTTTGAAATTAAAAAGATGTGGGTTCTAAACCTAACTCTCTTCCTTTTGGCTGTGTTGTTTTGTTATGGTACCAAGATAAGACCACCAGACAAATTGAGAAGGCCAACAGGAGTCTATTTGCTGGCTACTGTCTGATGGAAAATCAGGAGGGGCAGCAGCTTCCAGCTTCAGGACAGACTTTATATAGGTTAACATATGTAGCTAAAAATAGTTTTTGGTGAACAAGCAAAGCAGGCTACTGGGTTTCACAATCCCGTACATACAAAAGCAGTTTTGTGGCACTTGGGGTTACTAGTGATGACTGGTTTACTAGCTAGCTTACCAAAAATTATTTTTAAAAAGAAGACCTAAGAACTAGATCTTAGTGATGTCAGTGGCACCCCAGAGGCGGCCTCATCCTGTTTGCCCAATCCTTGCCCCATTATCTCACCCTTCTTACTTCTTGCTTTTTATTTTCTCTTCACGAGAGGAGAGGGGAGGGGGTCGTTGTTGGGGTATGGTGCATCTCCCCTTAGGGCCCACCACCTCCCATTATGTTGGCTACTTAAGTTTTAAGTTCTTGGGGCCTCAATTCCATCATTTATAAAATGGCAATGACCAATCCTTCAGGGTGTGTGTGTGTATATATAAGAGAAACAGAGTGAATATTATTATAAATAACATAATGTATATGACAATTAGGATCCTTCCTGGTAAGCAAGGAAATAGTTATTCTTATTATATAATTTTTTTATATTGTCTGAATGTTTACAATAATAATATATTATTTTTATATGCAGAAAAGTAAAGTCATTTCTATTTTGGAAAAAAAAATAAAATGAAAGAAAAATAGCTACAGGAAAGAGCTAAGAATGCTTAGAAATTAATCTGTTATTTGTTGGCCTCAAGAAAATGCTTAATAATACTGGGTTTATGCTAGCTCCCCAAAATGATGATGTAGAAGGTGAATGTTCTAGATAAGCAATACATTTTGTGAGCAGTTAGTACACCAGAACACTCATACCTGCTGAGCAAAGAGGCACAGAGGTAGTCTCTAGTGACAGTCAGAACTACCAGAAGATAATTATTGCCTTGGTTATGCTTCTCAGGTTAGGGGTCCTTACTCTGCACCAGCTATCTAAACAGTGCTTGATGTCCCAACAGGGACTTTGGGGGCACTGAAAGCTGCATCTCCAGCTGGAGGTACACTTAGTTTTCTCCTGCTTTATTTCTCTGTCTCCATATGGATTGTGTTTCCACATTCTTTGCTGTATTTTGTATCAGCTACTTGTCTGTTATGACCACCAGAACACTGAATATGTAATGCATATTTATATTTATAGAAAAAGTTAATTTTTCAGAATCGTGTATGTTACAGATTTTACATCCTGAAGTGCAAACTCTAGATCTGCGGAGCTGTGATATTTCAGATACTGCTCTTCTGCACCTGTGTAACTGCAAAAAACTGAAGACATTAAATTTAAATTCCTCAAAAGGAAATAGAGTTTCCATAACTTCAGAAGGTATGCTTATTAACACTGAATAAATTGGCAAATTACTGTTCAACATCTGGTATAATTGTGGAGCAAACAGGGAAAAATGGGTCAAAAATATTCAGAAAAGAAAAATAATCCAGGCTCGGCGCCTATAGCTCAACCGGCTAAGGCGGTAGCCACGTACACCTAAGGTGGCGGGTTCGAATCCCCAGCCCGGACCCGCCAAACAACAATGATGGCTGCAACCAAAAAATAGCCGGGCGTTGTGGCGGGCGCCTGTGGTCCCAGCTACTTGGGAGGTGGAGGCAGGAGACTCGCTTGAGCCCAGGAGTTGGAGGTTGCTGTGAGCTGTAATGCCACGGCACTCTGCCCAGGGGGATAACTTGAGGCCCTGTCTCAAAAAAAAAAAAAAAAAAAAAATAATCCAAAATAGAATTCTTACTTATAATCAGTGCTAAAAATTAAGAAATACATTGGGTAAGTCACTACCTTGTATTTTAAGCATATTTAAAATAAACATGGATGCATGCATCTATATTTTAAATATTTTGTCTGGTACAGTAGAATAAGAAATGACCAGTTCATATTTTGTTAAGAGTTTTTTGATGCCATATTGCAATAGAATTGATCATGAGATTAAATTTATAAGCACTTTCCTATTAGTCTATACAATGCATAGTTTTTTATAGCCAGACAAATTGCATTTTTCATTGTCACTGTTACATGAATTAGTGCATTTTTTACTTCTTTTTTTCTCTTTAGACCATTTCTTTCAATATAGGATTTATAATACATAAATAAAGGAAAGAGGGACTTATTTGGCTAAGTAGATTTTTGGAAAATTTTGTAGGTAGTTGGGTACATTTTGCACTCATCTTAGTTAGCAAATTAAGATATTCATAATATTGCAAAAAAGCACAAGTTTTCAAATGTTTGCATAAATTATAACTCACTAGAAGGAACTTCTCCCAAAAATGCAGCATTTTTCTATACTCATACAACACTTCGGAAAGTAAGTGTGGGTTTTTTCCACGCTAAGCAGTTCTCTAACTCTCAGAACACAGTCTGGGTGTCCTACAATTTAATTCAGTTCTGACACTACTTGGCGTGAGCATCAGATACCACAAGTTAAGGGCTCATACCGACAAGAGTCTTACAAGACTTTCCCTTCTTCAGATGTCCATAACAAGTTTGGGCCTCTAGTACCAATCACTGGTCAGCTGTAAAGCGAGCATTCCCACTACCTCCTCTTGGGTTCAGTAATTTGGCAGAATGGCTCACAGAACTCAAGGGAACACTTAGATTTGCCAGTTTATTATAAAAGAATTTAAAGACTCCAGATGAACAGCCAGATGAAGAATACACAGGGTAAGGTCTGGAAGGGTCTCAAGGTCAGGAGCTTCTGTCCCCACAGTGCTGGGGGTATACCACCTCCTAGCATTTGAAGAAAGTTCATCAAATCTTTTTCAAGAGCTTCTATAGTCTTTACTCCCATCTCCCCTTTCCAGAGGTCAGTGGATGGAACTGAAAATTCTAACCTTCTATTTACTTGGTGTGCCTGGAGAATGACACCATTCTGAGGCTAAGGGTCCTACTCCATCACCTCATGAGCATAAACTCAGGTATAATCAAAAAGGATTCGTTATGATTAACAGAAGACACTCCTGTCATTCAGGAAATTCCAAGCATTTTAGGAGCTCTGTACCAGGGACTGGTAGACCTAATTTTATTTCTTATTATATCACAACTTCCACCCTGGGCAATGATAAATAAAATAACTCTTTCTTTTAAAGAGCTCTTTAAAAAAATAAATAAATGCTATTTCTTAAGATATGGAAAGCCATACACGTGACCTACCCATGAATTTAGCAGTTTTCCTTTTGTATATTTTACCTGCCCGTGTAGGTATCTGTTAACAGTGCTGTAGCGTTTGTCCATGACTGAAGCCCAGGATCCCCAAAGGACTCTTATTTGTGGGACAGTGTAAGGCACCAGTCTCCAATGTGCGTTTCTATCAGTTCAGTTGGATCTAAGGGCTTCTTTTTTTTTGACCCTCAGGAAAATATAAGATTGGTCCAGGCTAACAGAGAAGGAGCGTGGTGGTAGAAAAGAGATCCATGTTTGAGGACAAAGTGGGGCAAGAAAGAATGCATAGGTATAGCTATTGATTTCTAACAATAAGCATGAAGACCGTTACTTAAACCATTTGGGCAATTTAACTTTTGATTTCCCATTAGAGTCCACAAAAACATTAACTTTATTACTTAAAAATTTTTGTTTAACCAACTGATTTGGTTCCAAATGATTGTTGGCTGTTTCCTAAAAGCAAATCTATCTGTGAACAATAAAGGCTTGCCATTAATTGCAAATACTACAAGCTGTGTAGAAAATTCCACAAGAGTTTGTATAATGACAGCATTACTGGAAAGTAAATATATTCTCACAGATGGACTAGTTTGAAAAAAGGTAACATCCAACTGGTGATTGCTAAAGTGAAAATCAGTCACGTTCTCATATGAACATATATAGTTCATCAATATATCTTTTCCCCCAGGAATAAAAGCTGTGGCTTCATCTTGTTCATACTTGCAAGAAGCGTCCTTGAAAAGATGCTGCAGTCTCACTGATGAAGGAGTCCTTGCTCTGGCACTCAATTGCCGGCTGCTAAAGATCATTGATTTAGGTGGCTGCTTAAGTATTACTGATGTGTCCTTACATGCATTAGGAAAAAATTGCCCGTTTTTGCAGTGTGTCGACTTTTCAGCTACTCAGGTAAATGAAATACAGGCTTGAAACATATGAACAATGTACTTGTCCAGTGTATCTCTATGACCAATGAAAAGAACATAATTAGGCGGGCGCAGTAGTTCACACCTATAATCTTAGCACTCTGGGAGGCGGAGACAGGTGGATTGCTTGAGCTCAGGAGTTCAAGCTCAGCCTGAGGAAGGGCCAGACCCCATCTGTACTAAAAATAGAAAAGCTAGCTGGATAGTGATACACACTCTCCTCGGGAGGCTAAGGCAAGAGGATCAATTGAGCCCAAGAGATTTGAGGTTGCTGTGAGCTGTGATGACACCATAACACTCTATCCATGGCAACAAAGTGAGACTGTTTCCAAAAAAAAAAAGGAATTATTTTAGTTTTTGTTAAAATTTTTGACTACCCCATGCTTTTGGTGGTTAAATAATTGCAATATAATTTTACATGTGCCCCTCAGTTATTTTAAGTAACAAGTGTAGAAGGTGTGTATGGCTAAAACACACGGCTATTGAATGGGAGGCAATGCAACTATGTCTAAATGATTACTTACAGAAAATTCTACTTCCATCATCTCTATTTATGGGCTGTTTCTTTTTCCTTGTGCTTAGGTATCTGACAGTGGTGTGGTTGCGCTTGTTAGTGGACCTTGTGCCAAGCAAATAGAGGTAATTTAAACATAACAATAAAAATGTTGGTAATCAAATTTTAATATTCATCTCAGAAATTAGTTTTTAAATCTAGTGACAACCAGTACCTTATCAATTAGGTATCTTATGGACCTTTTTTCTTTTCTTGTCTTTCTTTACTTTTTTTTTTTTTTCCACCTCTACCTCTTTATTGCCAGAGTAAAGGAAAACTGGTAAAGTTAGGACATAAAATAAATATACTTTAAAAGAGAAACTCAGATGAGTGCAGTGGCTCACACCTGTAATCCCAGTGCTTTGGGAGGGGAAGGCAGGAGGATCACTTGAGGCCAGGAGTTCAAGACCAGCCTGGGTAACACGCAAGACCTCTTCTCTACAAAAAATTAGCTGGAAGTGGTGGCACACATCCATAGTCCCAGCTACTCCAAAAGCTGCAGTGAGAAGATGGCTCGAGCCCAAGGGTTAGAGACTTGTGAGCTATTGCACCACTGTACTTCAGCCTGGGTGACAGTGAAACCCTATATAAAATAAATTAATTAGATTAAAATGAAAAATTTTAATATCATTTTACTTCCAATGAAAGTTTTTATTTCCCAGAAACTTTAGCTTGTAATAGATTTATGGATAGTCTTATTATGGATGAAGATTGTGAAAGTTTACCGGCACATTCTTTAGGAATAGGATATTCTTTAGGATTTCATGTCTGAATGATATTTCTACCAGGACTACTAATTCTCTTGCTATCCTATTTTTCTTAATAGCCACATTGTACAACCATTTAAGAAGATCTTAAATTAGTGTTCAGCCTTTGAATTTAATGATTGGTGTAGCACTTGTAACCTGTTTCTGAATACATCAGGAAACCGTCCATCCCAGGATTTTTATTTCTTCCTCTCCCATTTGATAGTGGTTAGTTTGTTTAATATAGCTGTGCTTTTTAACAATAAACCACATCAAATCCTTTTTTGGAAGTAAGCAGACTTTAAATGAATTATGAAAGTTAGTAATAATAACTGTTGTAATATAATAGCAGTGCCATGCTTTTGGCAAATATTTCTCCTTCCATGCAAATCTCTATGGGGACATATATTTTCATTTTTCCTTGGTAAATAACGAGGAGTAAAATTGCTAGGTCATATAGAAAAGTACTTATTTAGCTTTACAAGATACTACCATACTGTTTTCCAAAGGGTCTGAACTAACATGTTTGAAATTTATATCTAAGCAAGTAGATATGTTTCATTTCAAATGTTTTATCTTATTTGTTATATTAGTAAACTATTTACTTATTCTTCACTTCTGTACTATTACAAATAATATTGCAATGGGCATACTTATGAATTGTTTCACAGTACACATGTTTCTCAATAGTATATAACTGGAGTTGCTGGATTCTAGGATATACTTACATTCAGCTTTTCTTTCTTTCTTTCTTTCTTTTTTTAAGCCTAAAAATACCATTTTGTTTTGATGTTAACAATCAGAGAACTATTTATCAGTGTTCACATACATTTTAGAAACATATTACATAGAAACACATTACATAGGGGGTCTGTCCTTTAAAAATCTAAAACCTCAACCATGCCTCAAGGCATTTATAGCCTGAAGACGTCTAGTCAACACACAGGATTGATTTTAATTTGTTACAAGAATAAACAAGTGTTGGCTCTGCGCCTGTAGCTCAGCAGCTAGGGCATCAGCCACATACGCTAGAGCTGGCAGGTTTAAATCCAGCCTAGGGCCTGCCAAACAAAAATGATAGCTACAACCAAAACAATAGCCAGGCATTGTGGCAGGCGCCTGTAGTCCTAGCTACTTGGGAGGCTGAGGCAAGAGAATTGCTTAAGCCCAAGAGTTTGAGGTTGCTGTAAGCTGTGATACCATGGCACGCTACCCAAGGTGACAGCTTAAGACTTTGTCTCAAAAAAACAAAAGAAGAAACAAGCATTAATTTCTTGAAGAAGTTTGTGGAGAACCAGTCTTCAAATGCTTTTTCAGCCTTACTGCTCACCAAAATTTTCCATTCCTTCTGGTAAAGATTCCTAAAACCTGGTATGAAGGACAGCAGAGTTCCTAGTCACCACCATGTGATGCCTTCTATACCTGAAGGCAGAGTCCTTAGTCAGTGTGATTTTCTTTCCTTTATTTTTAAATAGGAGATCCATATGGGACATTGTGTAAATCTGACCGATGGAGCTGTAGAAGCTGTCCTTACTTACTGTCCTCAGATATGTATATTACTCTTCCATGGATGCCCACTAATAACAGGTAAGTCTGATAAACTGTTTGGGTTCAAATCGTAGTTTCATCATTTAACCCATTCCCTTATTCAGTTTCTTCATGAGTAAAGTAGCCATAATGATGGTACCTACTTCATAGGCTTAGTCAAGATGATTATATCACAACCCTTCCTGTGGTGCCTCACACATAATAAGAACTCAATAAATGTTAATTATAATGATGGTGCTGACGTTGATGCCACCAGTGGTTGTGATTATGATATTGAACATGATTTCATGTAGACAATTAAAATTTCCAGTTTATGAATGTGCTAACTGACCTCTACCTGTTATCAAGCTGTCGACATTGAAATCAGAATAATTTAGACTCGAGAGGCTAATGTGGTTCTTCACTAAAAGAATAAAGGCCGGGCATGGTGGCTTATGCCTGTAATCCTAGCACTCTGGCAGGCTGAGGTGTTTGGATTGCTTAAGCTCAGGAGTATGAAGCAGTCTGAGCAAGAGTGAGACAGCATCTAAATTAAAAATATAAAAACATTAACAGGGTATCGTTGTGGGTGCCTGTAGTCCCTGCTACTCAAGAAGCTAAGGCAGGGTTTGGCACCTACACACAGTGGTTATGGCTCTGGCCACATACATCGAGGCTGGCACGTTCAAACCCATCCTGGGCCTACTAAACAACAACTGCAACAAAACAATAGCCTGGCATTGTGGGGGGGGGGGGGGGGGGGAAGTGACTAGTTCAGTTCACAACCCTGAAAGAATTGAGGCCATAGGGTATACAAACCACATTTTGAGAACCAATGCTTTATGATAAAGAAAAATCTTCAATCAACTTCAGCATTTGAAGCAACAAATCACTTTTTCTATTTTCATGTGGCTACTGGAAGTAGGTAGAAGTAGACATTGAAATGGCAGGAGTTTAAAATATTTGGGATAGAGTAACAATATATATATATATGTATATATATATATATATATATATAGTGGCAACTCTTACTTTATTGCCCTGGGTAGAGTGCCATGGCGTCACACAGCTCACAGCAAATCCTGGGGTTAGGTGATTCTCTTGCCTCAGCCTCCCGAGTAGCTGGGATTACAGGCACCCTCCACAACGCCCAGCTATTTTTTTGTTGCAATTTGGCCAGGGCCGGGCTCAAACCCAGCACACTTGGTATATGGGGCCAGCGCCTACCCACTGAGCCACAGGTGCTGCCCAGTAACAATAATTTTGACCTGGGAGATCACTTAACAACAGTGTTATTGTTACATAAATGACAAAAATGGCCTGTAGGGACCTATGTTGTTTACTTCTTCACAGAAGACCAGGACCATTAGTCAAAAGCCTGTCAGTGTCAAACTTGATTTTTCACACATCCAATTATTTTAAATATAGCCTAAGTAAGCTTATTTTTAGCCAGCTAGAGCCTGCCTGCTTTGCCTGCCCTGCAGACTATGCCCAACATTTATTTACCCATAAAAAAACCCAAGACTGTAAAAGACGCAAACTGTGGTTGCCTTTTGGGGCTCTCTAAACCAGAAACTCCCCATCTTGCTGCTGAACAACCTCATGACACATAAATCCTCTGTCCATTCCCCCACGAATTCCCTTACTCCCCTCCCTTTCTTAGTAGTGGCTCCCTCACACTGTAGCCCTAAAGATCCTATGAGGAACTTCCCCTGCCTGCAAACCTGTCACAGTGCTGCCCAAAGAAAGCTTGTTGTGTCCTACTGCCACCAGGTGGTCATAACTTTTTCCTTGTTCTGCTCTGAAATCCTTCAGATTCACTATAGTGGCTTGGCATTCTAGAAAATATCCATATGTATATATAAAACTTTTTGGATTTTTTATATATCTAAATTTGCAAAGTACAACATACTGCCACAATAAATGCTACTGTTGCTTTATCAAGGGCTTTGAGAAATACTATAGATAAGAGCTATTTAACTTTGTTTATGCAAGCATTTTCCCAATTTTTAGCACAGAATACTTTTCTGATTGACCTAGCCAACTCATTCATTATATTTTATTATGTTAATATTTTCCTGATCCCTGATCACGGAATAGGAAAGTAAAATACTGAAATCTTAGGCACAATTTGAAGCCTTATTTAATGATAGTGCCAAGACTAAAACTTAAATCTCAAGATACAGTGATATGAGCAGTGATCTCCTGCCACCTTACCAAGACTTTTTTCTTTGAGACAGAAGCTCACTATGTCACCCT